AATTTATATTAATTTATAATTTAAAAAAATAATTTATTTTTTATTTTTTAAAATAAATGTGCTTCTATCGATATTTTTTAAATAAATTGGAAGGTTTTGCCTTGGATCTACACAATCTTTTTAATTTTAAACGTTAATTAGCACTGAACTCCCTTCTTTCTTTTTTCTTTCTTTTGTTTTTTTTAATGGATGGCACTGACACCTTTAATAATTGCAGTGGGCTCCTCTTAAAGAATTTTTCTATCAAAAGGCGCGCATGCTTCTTCTGCGTCGTTGCATAACAATGTGTGGTAATTAGCACTTGGACACCTTTAGCCCTTCTTTGGATAGAAAATAGTAAAGGAAAGGGAAGGGAATGGAGGAAAATAAAAGGAAATGGAAGGGGAGGAAAAGAAAGGAAAGGGAAGAAAATAAAAGGAAATGATTTGTGTTAATTTTGTTTGGATAAATAAAAATGAAAAAGGGGAAGGGAAGGAAAGGATTGTATTATTTTATGTTTGGATAATTAAGGTAAAAGGAAGGGAAGGAAGGAAAAGATTTAAATTAATTTTAAATTTACAAATTTATCTTTTAAACTTGTAATGGAGAAGGATATAATAAGAAAATTAAGGTTAATTTTGTAATTACATTTAACCTAATCTAAACAGTAACTCAAATCCCTCCCAAACCCTCCAAATCGGACGGATTGTAAATTGCAGATTTGAAGGTGGTTGGAGGGAGTCCGAATCAGTCCATCTCCCTTCCCTTCTGCCTTTTTGGAAACCCAAACAGGAGGGAGGAGACAGCGCCCCCTCGCTCCCCCTCTCTTGCCATCCGTCCTCATCCCTTCCCCTCCCTCTCCGTCCGACACCTCCAATCCAAACAATACCTTAACCTAATCTAAACAATAACTCAAATCTCTCCCAAACCCCTCAAATCGGACGGATTGTAAATCTGCAGATTTGAAGGTGGTTGGAGGGAGTCCGAATCAATCTATCTCCCTCCCCTTCCGCCTCTTTGGAAACCCAAACAGGAGGGAGGAGACAGTGCCCCCTCGCTCCCCCTCCCTTGCCATCCGTCCCCATCCCTTCCCTTCCCTCTCTGTCCGACACCTCCAATCCAAACAATATCTATAAAAAGGTGTCATGAGTCCTGGTCGTCGTCCATGATTATTGTGCTGGTGCTTCTTCTGCGTCATTGCATAGCAATTTCTGCGTGGTCATTTTGAGATGCTTTCATAAAGTAAGTTGGATGTTCATACACAATTTCAAAAGGCGTCAATGACTTCTATTTTTTCATCCAGTTATAACTTTTAATGTTAGATATGATTGTAATTTATAATTATTTATTATATTTTATTAAATAATAAATATATAATACTAAAAATAATTTTTTATGAAAATAATTTTTTTA